TTTATGAAACACTTTAATGTGAAGATAGAGATTTTATCTCTTGATTTGATAAAAGCTGCAAGCTAAGACAATATTGTTTGGTTTCTAGGCTGCCTTATTTAATGGGGTGCATGAACCTGGGCCCTGAGGGTTTTGAAATCAACACACCATTGAAATTGAGTGGCGATTAGTACAATTAATTTGAGATACAATATAGTTCTCTATCAGTTTGGATAATAGTAAGAAGAGAATAATGTGGAAATAAAAACATCCTCCTATTGTGTCTGTCTACTTATAAACATTGAAGAGAGATCGAGCCGGCATGTGACAGCAGCTTAGATGTCCCCTGATCTTGTTCTGATTCTCAAATATGATGATAAAGGACTTTATATTATAAAACACATTTCACGTTAATATGGTACCTGGAAGCAATTCCTAAACATTGTCTAAATCCTTTCTGTAGAGTGACAGTCTCATTTATTCATTTTTCTACAGTGTCAACTTTGGTTCATGCATACTACAAAGACATTGCTTATTAAAAACATCTAACATTTACTGGATCTCTACTGAGTGCCACACTGACACTCTACCTTTAATCCTTTCATAACCCTCCCTGCCTCATTTTACCAATGAGGAAAACCACTCCAGGAAACAAGGTTTTTGAGAACTATTACACAACAAAGTGACTGCAGTTAACAATAGCATATTATATGCTTCAAAATTGCTGAAAGAGATTTCAAATATTCTCACCAGAAAAAATAGTATCTGAGATGATAGATGTTTTAATTAGCTTGATTTAATAATTCCATGCTGCGTGCATATATCATATCACCTTGTACCCCATACACATATATACCAAATTATAATTTGTTGACATGCAATAAAATAATGTTTTTTTTAAAGGAAGAGAAAAATAGCCTATTAATCACACATTTATTTTGTATTTGTGCCAAAATTCTAACTCAAGCAGATTGCTTCTAAACCTTTTTGTTGTTGTTAAGACAGAGTCTCTCACACTGTCGCCCTGGGGAGAGTTCTGTGGCATCATAGCTCATGGTATCTCAAACTCAGGCTCAAGAGCTCTCCTGCCTCAGCCTCCCAAGTAGCTGGGACTACAGGGGCCCTCTACCATGCCAGCTAGTTTTCTCTATTTGTAAAGACTGGGTCTCACTCTTGCTCAGGATGGTTTTGAACTCCTGAGCTCAAAGGATCTTGCTGCCTCGGCAGAGTGCTAGGATTACAGGTGTGAGCCACCACACCCCACCTAAAACCTGACGGTTAACTGTGTTCTCCCCAAAGTCTTGTAAAATAAGCTGGAAAGCACCCAGTTACAGAACAACAACAGATGGGTGCACTTGGTACTGGGGACCTCTGAGGGAGGGTTGCTGGCTCTGTTAGGTGGAGGGAGGAGCCGCCCTGTCTTGGAATAGATTATACTTGAGTTGAATCAAGTTTACTAACTGAGTATCCCAGCAATATGGGAATAGCAAGTTCAGAGGTCGAGTCATAAGAAAGCACAGCACTTTCAGAGAAGGGCAAGCCATTTGCTATTCTTAACAAGAGCATGAGAATGGGTTATGGAAGACAGGCTGGAGGAGTGAACAAGGGACCTGGTCATAGCCTGCAGGAAGTTGATGGTTTTCAGATTTGAATGTGGCTTGAATGCCTTGGGTATGTTCATTCACAATGAAAATTGCTGTGTCTCAGTTGCCAGGGAATCTTACTCAGACCCATGAATTTGCATTTCAGCAGGGGTTCTAGGTGATGCCAAGGTAGGAAAGCCATCTTGTGAATCCCTGTTTAAAATGTTAGGAAATCAATGTGCTTGAACAGGATGTGGTTAATGTCCTTGTGTCTTTAAAAAAAGACACAAGAGCTCAGTGGAGACAGGAAGGTGTTCTCGAAGGTGATTTTTGGTTTGTTTAGAATTCAGAAATAATATAGAGGGTGGCATTTCTTAATGATTTTCACAACATACACTCTTTTGCTTATAATTGCTTTGGGATGCTATTTAGGTTACTGAGCTATTAAAAAATGCTCAAATGGCAGGATTCAGTTTTTATTCTTTTTTTTTTTAAGGCACAGTAATCTACCAAAAAGTATGAGCTTTTCTTTTTTTTTTTTTTTTGAGACTGAGTCTCACTCTGTTGCCTGGGCTAGAGTGTTATAGCTTCAACACTCAATCCTCCTGCCTCAGCCACCCGGAGCACTATGATTACAAGTTTGAGCCACCAGGCCCAACCAGTATGAGCTTTGCAAACCAAATCTTGTTTTGGCATTCTTGGTTCTTTCCACCTTAGCGCTTAGTAAACTTCACTCAATAGGGAATTAATTATGAATAAATAAATGAATGAATAACCTAACTGATTCCTTTTTTCAGTAGAATCTAATGTCATACAACATCATTGGAAGATTTAAATAATAAATCAAACTGCAATATTTCTGTACTTCTCCATGGCATCCATTATACAATTTAGAGGACGAACAGAATTTTTAAAAATCTCAGTGGATGTGCAAATTTAAGATTTGGGGCTGTCTTATTATGAGGTCAAATTTATTATAGCTCACTGGCTAAGGATAGGGATGGAACGGAGTAAGTGAAAACAACTGCATTTTAAATGATCTTTTCCATTGGATGATAGTCAGGTGGTTCCCCAGACATACTTTTTAATGGAAATTTGATACATCCCTGCCTTCCAAGAGAGAATGTCAGTACATTCTTCAATGTTTAAATAAACTTGAAACAAACCACAAAAAAAGAACGAGCCGTCATCTGACTCATCTGGAATTAAACGTGAATAGATGGCACACGTCATTTTCTCACTGGGTAACCAGAGATGGCCTTGACCAACTGGGGATTCTCAAACTTAGGGTGCCAAATCCTACACTGATGTTTATGCCACACTTACGCTTGTTACACAGATGGTAGGCATCAAATAGCTGAGCTTCATTGGGTCGTGTCTGGAGAGAATGATAGATACGGTCTTTTCCATTGACAGGACAGTTGTTTTCACATTCCACTTGAATTAAATTATGCTTGTTTATGCCGTGGTGCACAGGCTCTGGCAGGGATTCACAGGGAGAGCCACCACGTGCACTCATTGCAAAACAAGTGAGAGGAAAGGTTGGGAAGCAGCGTAGTGAGCCCAACAAGAAAATTTCAGACCCAAGTGGAGCAGTTTCCACTTACTGGGAAAAAAAGGTCTAGATATCCTTTTAGGCTAACGCATGTTCATAGGGCTTTTATATATTGTATGTAGATATGCATTTGCATATATTAAAATTCAGGATCAGTGTATAGCCTTAATTTTAATAGACGAGTGAAAATATTTTGAATTTCTCCTATTAAAAAAAGATATCATGTGTTAGGTGTGCTAGATGAAATGACCAGTCTAAGACCCTAGCTTTAAAATGTTCACGGTTGAGTTTGGTAAATGAGACAGAAGCAGGTGAGATTCTCTGTAAAGGAGAAAAGTTAAATAGTAAAATAAGATGCAATCCCAGGACTAGTGTCCCTCTCTTACCCTGGAGGATGCATTCCAAGACCTCTCATGGATGCCTATAATATGCTATGTTTTTTCCCACACATGTGTACAATAAAGTTTAATTTATAAATTAGGCAGAATGAAAGGTTAACCACAACTAATAACAAAATAGAAGAATTATAACAATATACTTTAGTTAAAGTTACATGAGTCTCTTCCCTCCCCCTTAATAAGATATTATACTGTACTCAACTATTTTTGTACCAGAGTTGACTGTGGGTAACTGAAACCTCCAAAACAGGGGTAGGGTGGACTGCCATCATGGACCTTTATCAGCACGTACTCTGGATAGTAATTTCTGGGTCTTGGGAAATGAATGGTGTTTATGAAGATAGATAAGGGAGACAGAAAATGACTCAAGGAAGAAAATACAGGTGAACAAAATCTTAGGAACCTAATGCTTGTTAATTAGACGTTTTAGACATGACTGTTTTCATTCCTATCCTGTTATTGGACATCCCTAAGAATACACCATGGTCCAGTGATTGACGAGAAGAACTCACAGACCCCAGAAAAGCTGTTATACTCGAGGTTGCTATTTATTACAGGAAAAGAAGATGGATTAAAATCACCAAAGACAAAAGGCCCATAGGTTAGAGTCTAGGAAAGACAAGGCTGGAGCTTCCATTGCCTCTCCCAGCAGAGTCATACAGACAGCACTTAATTCTCCTGTGTGGCAACTCACGACCATTGCCAACCAAGGAAGCTCATGTAAGCCATGGTGTTCAGAGCCTTTATTGAGGGTTTGTCACTTAGGGATGGAACTAAGTTTTTCTTACAGACTTCAGCTCCCCTTGGAGGTCAAACTGACATAGCCTGGCCCAGAGTTCCAGGTGAATAAAACCAGACATTCATAATAAGTCGAATTGTCACCCTATATAGCCCCGTACCTAAGATACACACTCATAGCAGACAGATATTCCAGGGGCTTGGGGGTTTTCCCTTAAGAGCTGTTCAAGGGCCAGTTTTGTTCTTTGGAATGTGCAGGGTTTGAAAAACACAGAACACTGAGTTAACACTTCATTGCAAAAGAGAGAAGCATTGTGTGACGGTGGGTCTTTCAACTAAAAATAAACAAGTCTGAACTCTGGAAAAATGATACCTGTAAAAATTTGTATGATTTATTTGTTTTGATGAGGAAGAAAAAAAATACGGGGAAAAAGAAAATCAACTTCACAGAAAAGCTATTGGTGTCTCCTTGGTGCAGAGGCGCAGGTGCTCTGGACAGTGTCGTCTGCCGGACAGAGTCATCTGTCCCTATGTGTCATCCTAATCCTAATCGTGTGACACCCTAAGAAGTGAGTGATCTCTTGATAATACCTCAGATGTTCCCCCCTTCTGACCAGTTCTGCAGAAGAAAGCTGATGTGCTAAACTGAGCATGTGAGAATTAAGTATTGACCAATCTTTTTTCCTTTCATTTCTTCCCCCGTCTGTACCTCATACGTTTCTGCACTGCAACGTGGTGTCTCTGAAGATGTTCCAGTGGATTTGATCGCCACCGGCAGGACTGGGTGGACAGTGGATGTCCTGAAGAGGTACACGCGGGCTTTATTATGACAAAACTCCCGGGACCAGGCTGTCAGATACACAGTGGCTATGACTTAATGAAAATCGTTTCTAATTTAATTTTTAAAAGCCAGTATTTATTAAACCCCTAATTGGGCTTAACTGTTTATACATATTGCCTCAATTTATTCTCACATCCAATCTATGAGGCAGGCACTGTTATTATCCTCTTATTACCAAGAAGAAGAGAGGGAAGGGGGATGGGAGGTGGTGGAGAGGGATGGTGTGTGTTTCAAGAGTTAGGTAAAAGGCAAGGGAGGAGTTGAGCCGGGGTTTGAATCTTTGTAAGCAAAGGGCAAGTCTGACATGCTTGCTACTTTTCTAAGATTTAAGGAGCCATTGCCCCTCTTTGAAACTCAAGTAACAAGACTAAGGGTTCTGGTTGCAGCAAACTGGTGTGCTGTGATAAGTGAGGCGTGGTGTAACACAGCCGACATAGAGAAATGGTATAACGTTCACTCCCAGGTGAACAGGGTGCAATGAAGTGGCTATATACGATTGCAGAAACAATCTTCTGTTTAGAAGTTTTCAATGAATTGCACTTACCCTGTCATTTCAGGTCACATAAAGATATAAAGCTCATAAAAGAAAATATTTCTTCTCTCTTCATTACATTTTAGGGTATGAGTTTTGAATAAAAAATTATTAACAATTAGACAAGTTTTTTTTTTTTTTCATTCAGTAAAGCAAATTATGCCAAAATGCTATTTTAAAAACTATTAGGAAATCAGTGATCCCTGGAAGCTTGATAAAAATTCATGTTCTGGGAGAGATGTCTCCTAAGAATGTCAAAAATACATCTCTCAGAACATTCTTGAGCTTTAACTATTGCCAGTGTGGCTTTGATCCACTTTTTGACATGCGTTTGAGGAATTACAGTGATGTACATCACTCCATCTATCTCACTTCCCCTATCCAACAACAAAGTTAAAGAAGAGTGATGTGTTTGCATTGCCATAGTATTTTCAGGTCAGTTTTTTCTTTCACATAATCATGGTTACCAGAATAAAAAATGTTGAAAATAAAGATGGAGAAAGTAACTCAGACATTTTAATTTTCCTGCTTCACTGGGGGTCACTATGAATTATAGGAGATAGAGAAAAATCCATCCAACTGTAAGCCTTCTTAAGGATATTTGTGGAGACTCACCGTGTTCTGTAGACTATGCTAACCACTAAAAGTACAAAGATAAAAACTTCCCCCTCCTCTCAGGGAGGTCAGAATCTGTGTACCTGTTCTGTGGTTAAATTAGCAGCCTTGGTAGCTTTATGGAGAGCGATTCTTTTTCCCTGTGATTATAGGTTAAGTAAATGAGTTCACCAACCTCAGTCTGTGGTCCTTGCCTGAAACTAGAATTAAATTTTCTTTTTGAGATCGTGAGATGAAATAATTGAATAAGTATAAATCCTAATATAAGCACTTTCCCTGTAAGTTTGTGAAGTGAGGTCACTGTGTACTGGTTACCAACTTGTCTGAGTGTGATGAAGTAGTGCCCAGACACCACAGGCTACAGAAAGAGGATTTGTTGCTTACAAGTAAGCAGGAAGGGGTAACGGAAGCCTGGGGTTCACTGTGAGCTGGTCCCCAAAGGCTCAGGAAATCTGTCCAAGGCAGACAGAGTCCCATCTGGGTGAATGCCATTTGCACTACAGTTGGGACCTCCAGAAAGCAGCCGCCCTGAGTTTTCGACTCTGGGGGTTACGTCAGTCTCTGGGTTAAAGCTCTGAAGAACATCAACTGTTTCTAGAGGGGAACTGGGGCAGAGCCATAGCTGGTCCAGCCGGCTCCCCTTATTCCAAGGTGATGCGTTCCCAACACACTGTACAATTACTCTGGAGAACCACAAACAAGAAATGGAGGGGAACCAGGTCAGTCCAAGGCTCCCCAGAGAACTGTCTGGCTATGTTCTAACCCAGTGTTTTAAAACCTTTTTTATCTCACGGCATACTTGAACATAAAATACCATGGCACACCTAAATTATGCTGATCGTAAAAAAAAGAAAATACTTACTGTCCCTTCACCTTTTTTGAAAATAATTTAACTCATGATCTTTAAAAATTTTCCTAGCACACCTAAGATCCTCTCACGACACACCAGCATGCTGCTGGTAATGTAAGAAAAATGTTCAGCAGGGCCATTAAACCCTGTGTCCAGCAAGGTAGATAAACCGCACTTAGAGAATGACATGGGCACGGTCAGAGTAAACACAAGTGGTGGTGCCAAGTGGGATAAAGGAAGGTGTGCTCGAAGAGGTGATATTTAAAGTGAAGTCTGAAGGGTGACTGACATCTGAGCTCAGCTAAGCTTATCATAGCCCTAAATGTGACAAGGTGAAGGAGTTTGAACTTTACCCAAAAGGCAGAGAAAATCGACCTGAAGGGTTTTCATCAAGGAAATAATATCCAAATGGCTTTTTGGGAAAATCATCCTGGCCTTGGCTGAGTAATCAATTGTAAGGCAGGCAGCCAGGAAGTTGGCTGTTGCAGTAAGCTGAGCCGAGATGGTGGTGAGCTGGACTGAACCAGTGGCAGGTGGGCGGCTGGGGAAGGCCAGGATGGCTGTGATAGGGGAGTTGGTAGTTGGTTGAATGGAAACAAAACCTATGAAAGTATTTTAAAGGTTCCTCCTTTTTATCTTCCTTTAAAAAGATCTTTTTAACATTTATGTGACATTAGTGTGGTTCTGAAACCCAATAAGGAAAAGAAAACCTATGATTGCTCTATGCCGCGTTAGAACTACAATCATCAATGGTCCGTCATCAATGATGACTGTTCCTGCTCCATCACATCCCTGCCTCTTCCCATTCAAAATAAGTAAAACTATTCTGAATCTTGGCTTTATTGCTCAGGATTTGGTTGGGTTTTTTTTTCCCCCTTATTGAGTTAATGTCTGTGGTGGAAGTTTAATCATCATTTCCACAGCTATATATTCTGTGGAAATATATATTTATTTACTCAAGAAATATTTATTCTGTGTTCCTGCTGTCTCAGGCACTTTTTAGGTACTAAAATGCAATAATGAAAAAGAAATTGAAAACAAATAAGCAAAAACCCACGGAACTCTCCCTTACTGAAGCCTGTATTTTTATAATCATATTGTTTTCTCACTTGGTCTTTCTTTACAGATATTGTTTCCAGACTTTTCCTCTTACGGAAATACATTATGCATGTCTCCTGAATCAAATGTGCAAAAGTTTCTCCATTTTAATGTGTCAAATGTATCAATATTGCTTTTTGGATGTTTTAAGTCTTTGTCTTTCACGTTAAAGTCTTTATTCCATTTGAAATTGGGTTTTATATATTATGGAAGCAAGGAATCTAATATTATGGATTTTTTTGCCCCTTATAACTAGCCAAATTTTAAGGACCATTTCTTGAATAAGCCTTCCTTTTAGTAATATCTTGCAAAAGCTCCCGTTTCCATGTAACATTTTTTTTTTTAGAGACAGAGTCTTACTTTGTTGCCCTCGGTAGAGTGCTGTAGCATCACAGCTCACGGCAACTTCCAGCTCTTGGGCTTAGGCGATTCTCTTGCCTCAGCCTCCCGAGTAGCCGGGACTACAGGCATCTGCCACAATGCCCGGCTATTTTTGTTGTTGTTGTTGCAGTTTGGCCGGGGCTGGGTTTGAACCCGCCACCCTCAGTATATAGGGCCAACGCCCTACTCACTGAGCCACAGGCACTGCCCCATGTAACATTTTTGATTCTCCTCTTCTAAAGCTGAGTTTGCCATCACTCATATAAACAACACTCTGTATTGATTACTATCATTTTATAAGGAAAAGCGCTATCTATAGGACAAGTCTCCTTTAATTTTCTTCTTCACAAATGTTTGGCCTATTGGGTCTTTCATCCTGCATATAAATTTTAAACTCATCTTGTCACGATCTGTGATCAATCATTCAGTAAACCTTATTAGCATTTTATTGGAATTACATCAAATTATGAATTATATCACATTTCCTAATTATGGAGACTTTTAAAATTTTATCTTATTATTGACTTGTAACCTAATTGAAATGCTGTCAGAGGAGATAGTCTGTGATAGCGATTTTTAAACATTGGTTGGAAATTTTTCATGAAATAGTACATGGGCAGTTTATAAACATGTTCCCTGTGTGCTCAAAAAAAAATGAGTATTTTCTAGTTGATTGGCTGTCAAGTTTGATCAAGGTGCTGCTCAATCACACTTCCCCATCCTCTTTATTTTTTACCTCTCTTTTATATCATCTACGTTCTTATTTCTCTGTGCTGTTTTCCAGGAAATTTCTTCAGATATATCTGCCCGCTTACATATTCTTTCTTCATCTTGCTTAATCTTTGTAATCTAACCCTTGGGGTAGTAATTTTAACAGATATGTTTTTCATTTCTAAAATTTAAATTTGACACCTTACTAAATCTGCCGACTCATTTTTCTCATCTCACATGAACAGTTCATTTTTAAATTTTACCTTTCATTTTTAAAAAATACTTTACATAAGATTTTCATATATTCCACATTGGGTGATTGCCCAGACTATCAAAGTTTTGGTGGCCTATGCTGTGCATTGTTTTTTTCTGACTCTTTGCCTGACTGCCCTTTTTTTCTTTTGTGTTCTTTGATGAAAAGTACATATTCATCTGATTGTATTTCTTGTGAATCCCTGGAACCTACATACGTGCTATTTTCCAACAAAGAGGGTTTGCTAATGGAACCCTCGGGGTTTGGGGGAATAGCAAAGGTCTCAGCCTTAATATGAGGAAGAGAGGTTTAGATTTACCTCTGCTGTCCATTCTTAGTTCAAGGCATGGTCTCCCTCAAGTGACATTGATTTTGATCCTTTTTCTCTTAGAAACCCTTGCTTTTTTGCTTCCTTAATGAATACTGCTCCTGTTGTCTTATCCAACATGAATTTTGCTTTGTTATATTTCGTGGGGTGGGTATAGAAATGAGAAGGTAAGATTGGAGATTTTCTGTAAGAATGTTTTAACATTCACATTTTATCCAGAATAAATTTATTATCACCTCAATTTATTCCCGTTAATCTTACAATCTAACTAAACAATACTGTCTGGAAGCAATATCTGTTTCATGGCAGAGGGGCCATTTAACATCTTCCTTGGCTCTTCCTGCCATAAGCAAACCAAGTCCAGGATTTTACATGAAACATTAGGATGATGTTTACTGACAACAGAAACAGGAAAGGATAAAACATGTCCTGTACAAAAGTAATTTCTTTCCTATTCTTCATTTGAGAGCCTTGCGCTGAACGGCTTAACTTCTTGAATGTAATTTCTAAAAATACGTATGTGTGATCACCCAAAGCGTTTGCCTTTTTGTTTCTCATCAGTCCAAAGAGAAGATGTGTGAGAATACAGAGCCAGTGGAAACTTCTTCTCAAACCACCACAACCATTCAAGCAACAACCACGCACTTCAGGGTCTTAACCACCACCAGAAGATCAGCCACATCCCAGCCGCCTACCAGCCTCCCCACAGAAGGTACCCAAGGGCTCTTCTGCTTTTTTCCCCAGAAGGAGGGGGAAACCTCTGTGTTGACGCCTCGTGGATGGAGAAGAGGGAAAGTTATACTTTGGCAAACTGGGTTTCTAAGAGATTTCTAAAGGGGAAAAAGATAAAAACAAAATTATCATAGACTAAAAATATGGCTGAGTTTCTTTTTAGATACTGTGCCTTTTACTAAAATCTAGGCTTTACCACTGATTCTGCTTTTTTGCCCCCTTTCCGTAGGGGAAAAAAAAATACTGCTTTTCAAGTGGATAAATGTCACAGTAAATGAAAATTCAACATGGCCGGCACAGGACAGAAAGGCAAAATGTATATGAAATGTTTCTTGATTTTTGATTCTGACACACCAACAGTAGATAATTCCACCCTTCTACAATTCTAATATTTTTCTGAATGCAGTCAATAAATTATGTTGGTCTCTAACCTATACAGGGGTACTGTGTATGTCATAGAGAGTGTCCTTCAAAAATACTTCCTTTTTTAGGGAAGGTAAAAATACTAGTTGATGCATAGGTACAAATAATAAGAAGAAAGTATATTAGCCAACATCTGATCATTTTCTCTTCCGAATGAAGAAGCAAAGTGGGGAGAAATATGAGAACTAGCTGGCCAAGATTCAGCTTTGAGTGAGCTTACTCTTTATTGCCACAAGCTTTACTTTCATTTAAATAGAAAGTGAAATTAAACATGGAACTTTTGCTTGTGATGGAAATTTAGTTGGATATGGTAAGATTAACTGGAATAAATTGAGGTAGAAGGCACCTGCTAAATCCATTTTATTGCTTTTTATTAAAAATCTAAAGCAACATTCGATTTTAATCCATATTATTTTTGATTGTGATATTGAAGCCGGTGAAAATATTTCTATAATTGAACATCTACCTTTTAGAATGAAATATAACTGCTGAAATCAAAAAAAGATACCCTACCTTTTTAAAATTCAGGATGAGATCTCTTCATATGTGATATTGTCATCCTTGTTAGCAATAAATAAACATTTAACCTTTGGACCTAAATTTGAAAATATCTTGACTATTCCAATTCATTTGGAATTTTCTTAATTTTAAAAATGGATAAATAAGCTCATAACTAAGGGGTCTGGTCACAATACATTCTTTTAGAATATTAAAAGTAGATGCATTTTAATTTATAACTGCTTACTTTTCTCACAGAACTTAAAGATCAGGTAAGACTTTAATAAAATCTTGATCTTACAATCTCCAGGGGAAATTTTAGCACTATATCATGTAAAGCTAGGACTTGCTCTCATTGAACTAGAAATGACCTCAATAAATTATCAAAATGTAGTCGCATAACAGGGAAGGCAGTGAGTAGACAATTACTGGTCATAAGATTCATGCTCCTTTGAAATTTTTTTTCTGTTGTACTAACTTTAACTTTCTCTTTCAGATGATACCAAGATAGCACTACACCTGAAAGATAATGGAGGTAGGAATTTATACTTTTCTTTTTTTTTTTTTTTTTTGCAGTTTTTGGCCGGGGCCAGGTTTGAATCCACCACCTCCATATATGGGGCCAGCACCCTACTCCTTTGAGCCACAGGCACTGCCCAATATACTTTTCTTTCATAAACAATCTTAGATACTAGTTTCTTTCATCCATTTTAATAATATGAAAAGGGATTCATGGACTTCTATGATAAATGTGTAGAGTAAGTTATATTTTAATCCCTCTTGGCATATAATATGGGAAGAATGCCGTGGATTGGCTTAAAAATAAGATGAAACCCTAATCTTTGCATTTGTCTTTAAAACTATGTGGTACCAATGACCAGTTCCTAATGATAAAGGGAAAAATTAATCTACACATCTTGATATTCTCCACTGGTCTTCATTGGACCTCATTATAGTAGTGAGAACAGTTATCTACACAGCTACAGGGATTGAGTTCAGTTTTTTTTTTTTTTCCACTAAACTAACTGTTGCATCAACACACCCACACATGGACTTCAGACACAAAGCAGGAAGTGTAAGAATAGATTGTGCTAGGTCTTTTTACTTGTTATATGAAGCAAAGAACAAAAATATTGGAATGAATATGCCCTGTTAGTAACAGTAAAGATTTTTTGTAAGATAATTTAGAAAGATCTACAAGAGTACTTAAAAACGTGAGGGGAAAAGTTTTATCAAAACAATACTATAAAATATATTGACTATAGTTTTAATAATATAGTACAACCTCCACAGTTGACCATCTCTCTACATTGACCACCTCCTCCTTAAGTTGACCTAAGACCACACAGGCACCACATGTACATAATCAGTACAGTAGGCCTGGTTCCCTATGTTGACCCCCTCTGGATGTTGACCAACTTGTTAGGGGGTCAAGTTAGAGAGGTTCTACTATAGTTGAACATCTGTTCCACTGTAGTTTCCTATTAATTAAACTATGTTAGCTTCTCCTTGGAGTTCACTGGATCTTAATAGATACCTGAGATTTTCATTAGTAATTATTCATTCGACTCAGGAAGTGGGTGTTCTCTCCTTGTCAGGATCTATTAAGTGAATGTGGGCATATCATGACATTGATGTAGGCATGATTTTGCTTTTGCAGCCACAGATGACTTCTTGAGTAAGTCAAAATTCAGTATGTACATTGTTAGGGATGATTTTGTCTGCAATTGTAGAGACTAGATCCTAAATCGCTCAGTGTAGCTGAAGTAAACAATACTTCTCTGCTTTCTTTAGGTCACAGTTTACATATATATATATACTATCTTTAGATTTTATATCCTTTCATCTGAAAAGGAAGGTTTCTTAACTCTTCACAAATATCACCATTATGTCAATTATCCACTGTCTTTTGCGTCTGTATTATAGTGTTTGATTTCATTCGTTTCTTATTCATTATCGTATGAATACAGTGTGTAGATAGATTTATAAATGACCATGTGCAAAATGTGTACTAGCTAGAAATAAATTAAAATCTTAGTGCTTAATAAGGCACACAATCCCCCCAATAAAGATTTCCCAGAGCAAGTAACATAAGTCTTAATGCTGGGGTTACCTCACTTTGAAGAAGAAAGTAGGGTAAGAAGTGAAAGGAAGGTTGAGAGTCCCTCAGAGGTGTCTGTTTTCTTCATTCCATTTAATTTTTAATATGGGCAGAGGTAGCTCCATGTGTGGATGTCATATTATTTCTCTCTTTTATCTTGCTTTTTTTTTTTTCTTATTCTGTTTGCCTAATATTGCAAACAGGAAAAAACAAAGAATTCCTGTAGTCAAATAGGTGTGAGATACTTTGAGTGAAAGAAAAAAAAATGTCCTTGCTGGAGAACTGTTCAAAGCCTTCAATGTTTATTCATTCATTCATTCATTGATTCGTGCTGAGTGCTTGCTAATTGCAAAGCCTAGTGCAGGCTTGGGGCTATTGGAGAGCTTAGACCACTCCCCTGCTTTCGGAGAACATGCATTATAATGAATTTTCAAGACGGTTCTTTAGATTTCTTACTGGCATTCCTCCACTGTTTGCTTATAAATGCTTTTTACAAGCAGCATTTCACGGGCCTAATGTTTTATGACATAAACTTCGGTAAGGAGTTTCCTAGAATATTACCAATTATCCCAAAGAAAACCCTAGTTTTATTAAAGTATCAAAGAATCGTAAAACATTAGGGGTTTTCTTAAAGCACTACCTTAGAACTACCTTATACTGCTAAGAAATCAAGTAAGTACCATGATTTAAGTGGAGGATTTGGGATCAAAAAAGTCAGCTCTTGGATTTCCAGATGTTATTTAGATAACTGATAACGCCCAGATATTCATCAGAATTTCGAAATACCGCAGTCATACCTCCAACTCTTCTCATGTCTGGGGTTGTTTACAAAGCACTTTTCCTGAAAACACTGACGTTTAATTAGAGCAGACCGACCCGACCAGTATTAAAATAAATGTGTCTTCAAAAGAATACTTTGGAAACATCACACATTATTTTTTATAGCATGCTTATTAAGTTAGTGCGCTGTGGTGACTTTTCATTTTACGGAATGTAGAGATGCAGGAAGGATTGCCAATTTAAATCTACCTTCGTTAGTTCATTAAGCCTGTTGAAAACAGAATTCAGAATTCAGAATTGTCTTTCCCATCCAATTTTTGCAAGAGCAAACTAATAATGAGTAGGCATTATGTAAATGTTTTCTAACATTTATCAAAGGTGATTTTTGTAAACATCCCAAAGCTAATGCATTTTCGTAAATGTCCCTATATTGCTGCAAAGAAACTTAGCACATTTGATATCTTGATTCAATTGGCTGTTCTTTTTTTTTTTATTAAATAAGTTTTACTGTGTATACTTGAAGTTTACAACATGAGTTATGGGAATACACATTGCGAGTAGAATGATTACCATAATGAAGCAAATTAACATGTCTATTATCCCACCTAGTTAACTTTTATTGGTGATGAACTTGGTTAATTTAGAGTTCTGTATTTTTCTGGGAAAAGGATGACATCTGTCAAAATAGTCAGTATGTAGCTGGAAACCAGTGACTCTGCCTTTCCACACATTATTTATTAGGTATTGGTTGACTTAGGCTCTGAGTCTTTCTGGGAGATTTCCATGGGTTAAAGTAGTTGATTTTCTTAGTGTAATGCGCAGCTGACATGATTATACATTCACTTTCCAGGAGACTTTGCCTTTGGTATGAAAGCTTGAAACACATTTCTAAGCAGCTGGACACCTAAGTCACACAACAGGGTTTCTCATTCAGAGGACCCAGACTGAGTTACAATCTGCTAAGTCACTCTTGATGAATCTTCAATGGTGCAGTGAGTTACCTGATACATTTAGATTAGGTCTGCGTAAAGCCTCCTGAGGTTTCAGGCTAGTTGTTTGATTGAAGAAGTTTTATTAACCTTTAGGATTGAGTAGAAATTCTAAGGTCTCTCAATACAGTAATTTGGAGAAAAGAACATGAAAAAAAACTAAAATAAATGAAAGGATATCTAGTGAGTGCCAGCCTCCTTAATAAGATAGAAGCTTGTGTGACCACTATAAATAATCGAACACAAAAGATGTGCCATGATGTAGAGCCAGGCATGGGTGGCACACACCTGTAGCCCTAGCTACTCAGGAGGCTGAGTGGGAGGATTGCTTGAGCCCAGGGGTTTGAAGGAAGCCTGGACATCATAGCAAGACCCTGCTCCTAAAACAAAATTAAATAAAATTGGTAAATAAGAAGATCTGCATATTTCTATTAAGTTTAGAATAACTCCCAATACTGATCAAATAGCTGACCTGTCCCTTGTTTACCTGTGAAAAAACAGAAGGAGGAGGAAAGAGTGGTGAAAGAAAAGATGGAAGAAAGGATGTCCCAGGCACTATTCTGTAGGCTGTGCAGTCATTAACTCATTTAATTCACCCAGCTTTCCAGAGTTGGACCTGTTACTATATCAATCTTACAGATGAGGAAACAGGTACGAAAAGATCAGATTACCACCAGAATAGAGTATATCGCCTCTGCCTCACAACAACCTCAAACTCCTGGGCTCAAGCAATCGTCCTGCCTTAGCCTCCCTAATAGCTGGGACTGCAGGCACCCACCATAATCCCTGGCTAATTTTTCTGTTTTTAGTAGAGATGGCGTCTCACTCTTGCTCAGACTTGTCTCAAACCCCTGAACTCCAGCAATCCTCCCTGAGTGCTGAGATTACAGGCATGAGCCACCACACCCGGCCTCTTTTGAACTCTGATGCAGATTTTAAGTCCTTGCTTCTCCCTGAAGGGCTTAGGGAGCTTAGGTCTCTTACAATCAAACTTCCTATGGGAAATGCCAGCTATTTTAATTACAAGTACTATATTCTTTTACCTTTTCTATAACAACTGATTACGCTTCCAAGTATTTGAAAGGGGAATTTCCCTTTCACGTGTAATTATGCATTAGCTTGCATTGTATCCTTTCTAGGAAGATCACAGGGTATTAATTCTCTTGTGTAATTCAGTGTCCTCAGAATCATCAGTATGTGGTCTCCAAATTACAGGGCTACCATGGAGTTTCTGTTCAAAATCTAATTTAAGGACTTTCAGCCTCCTTGGTCTCTGCACACATTCAGGTTTAATTCACCTGTAAAAGGTAGCTAGACTGAATTCTTTAAATATACACATTTCTGTAAGAAAGGATTATATGCATTTAAAACCGTATCTTCTTTGGGCTTTGAAGTTTTCGCAGTAGCTTATTAGAAGAACATTTTTAAGGAATGGCCTAGTTATGTATTTTGGCAGGTACAACTATTAAATGCCTTCTGTGACATTTGATTAGGTTGCTTCCAAATGGCACTCACTTCCTAATTAGAAATGTAAATGTCCTCAAGATGCAAACTGGATAAAGTTATACCCAGGGCTGAGAAGAGGTCTACAAGCTGAATTAGTGGCAAGGATTTCTAATTGGGAAGCAAAGTCTTCAACCAGATTCAACTCGATCTAGCAAGTTG